TCCATAAATAATTTCTAATAATGTTTTATAATTAGTAGAAGTATAAAATGTAGGTTAAACTGTTAACAACTTTTCTATACTTTACTTAGGATAAGTAGGATATTTGGATAAAAAGTAGAAATTCACGAAATTACTCTGATGCTGAACATGTATTAAACTACACTCTTTGAAGTTCAGCAAAACTGAGAAGAATCCTACTGAGATGGTGAACACTGTAGAACTTTGTGCAGTTCCTAATTAAACATAATATATATATATATATACATATTATTCAGGAATTTTAATTTTAACTTACAATAAATTAAAAATCCTTCATTGGGGCTAATAAATTACAGTTAGATAAACTTGTCGCCTAATTGTAAGTTTTATTAAACTCACTTTATATAAACTTTACACCGAGAAAAACGAAAAAGTTCATGAAACTTGTTCATAAGTATGATGAGTGTAAAGTTAGTCAGAAATTGATCAGTTTATCATAGAAAATGATCATTGAGTTATACTTATGTATAAAACAGGATTTTCTATCTTACTGGAGTTCAACGAATCAAAATGGTCTACATATGAAATCATTCAAAGCTGACAGTAAAAAGTATTTTTTAAAAAAGGGCAGTTTTGCAGTCATATAATACCGTCTAAAGTAGGACAGATGCGTCGGTGGTTCAGCGGTAGAATGACTGCCAACCACACCTCATGTGGTCGGGGATCCAATTCCCGACTGACACACTTTAAACCTCGATTAGTCGATATTATTCGGGGTAAGGAGAATTAAACCTTGTGTTACCGAAACTTTAAACCTCAAGCCGGAAGCCCTAAATTCCACTCGAGATGCAACGGAATAAAATAATTAATTAAGTAAATAAGTAAGACAGGCGCATTCTTTCACAATGGAAATTCACAAACATCATTCATTTCATTGTTCAAGGTATACTGTCTTAAACTGTATTATAAAAAACACCTGACATCTTTATTAGTTTATCAAAATAACAGAACTAATAATTCAGAACTGTTTTTGTTATCAACGAAATCATCTTCAGAGGTGGATGTACAGTCGTATTTATATTTACCTAAAATGTATAGTAGGGGTAATAAGGGTGAGGCCAACTAGTACAAAGAGCGTCAGGTTTCAGCATTTGGGCATGTCGGAGGCGTTGGCGATTCGTCAATGCAACCCTGAACTTTGTACACAGTAGAAGTTTGTCCAGTCTCATTTCCTACCATAATCTCAACCTCTTCATTAGTCTTTCCCTGTAACATTTTAATGATTACTTTGCTTTTACTTTAATAATTAACTCAATATTATCACTCTCATATGTTCCTTTTGTACGTTTTCTAGCTGAACAACACTTCTAACCTGATCAAATTTCTAACTTTGTGCTGTTGGTTACCACGTAATCTACAACTTTTCTTTTTACTTCGAAGCCACTTCTGAGTGATTATATCAATTATGTCATCGTCCCCTAATACTCAATAATAGACTACTTAACATTTTTGGTAAATATAAATACGACTATACAGATAAGATAAGATAAGCTTTATTCCAAATCAGTACTTGTGATACAGAATGGAATTCTCAGCATTTTACTACAATATTGCATCCAGTTGGTACATTAACAATAAATATAGTTCTATCTCAGTCAGTTTTGACAACATATCATGTCGGTAGCAAAGCCAAAATTTAAAGTGTTTGAAGGTGTTAGAAAAGTAAATACTACTAGCATACTGGCGTAAGCAATAGCAAAGTGGTCGAGATATACAGAGTGTGAAAGAACGAACAAGAATGTTTTAAGTAGAGTTTGCAAGGAAGAGAGAAACAAAGCAGCACATAACAAAAATAAATACAGAATGAAGAGAGAGAGAACGTTGTACCTATAAATGATGTGAGTTGGAAAGACGAGATCCATTGGTTCTACTGACTATTTAATAAGTTAAAGGTTTCACGCCTAATGCTTTCTTTATCGCACAGAACACGAGCTAGGTAGGGTATGGATGAGTTTTTGTACTTACTAGTGCGGGCATGTAGTTTCCTATATAGGCTTCTGGTTTTCCCTGAAGAGATACATGGGGAGAGTTGTGAATGTAGAGGGTGTTGTGAGTCAGATAAGATGGATTTCGCCCATTTTTCACATGAGTCCATGCGCCTGTCCACCAGAATATTAACAAGCTGGCTAAGTGGCAAACTGCTTACCCGCTGACAACCTTTAACATCCTACGTAATAAGGTATAGTCTTTCTTCAATAGCCCGGGAAAGACTAAGGGGGAACAATAGAGAGTAATAGGCAGAATACGGGAGTTAACAAATTGTAGGAGTAAGGGTTGGGTTACACCAGAAAGTCTTAACTTCTTGATATAGAAGGTAAGACGGTATATTTTCTTGGAAATCGCCAAGATATGAGACGACCAGGAAAGATCAGAAGATAGAGTGACGCCTAGGTATTAAATTTCCGACTTAGTTTCAATTTCGGTGCCATCTATGTTGCACATCTCGTGAGTGCTAACCAGTTTGTTTAGGTCAGATTTATGCCTAAAGGTGAAATTAACTGTTTGGCATTTGGAGGGGTTTAAGGTGAGACCGTTTTCCTTGGACCATTGGCTAATTTCTGATAAGAAGCCATTTAGTTTAGAGCAGTCACTTTGACATTTGACAGGTAAAGATACAGTTAGGTCATCAGCATATTTGTCAAAGTTAATGTCAGCCGCCAGTGAAGATGATTTTGTCGATAAAGAGAACTTTCTTCGCTGAATGTGTCTTTTATTTTCTCCATAACTCAATGGGTATTTTTAATGATCAGAATTGTTTGTTTAAAGACTTCTGTTAATGCCTTAGATGAATAAGCTTTTATACAATAGCTGATTAGTGGTCACATTTCTCTTGTTTCTTCTCCTACATTCATACTGTGATGAAAGTTGCACCTGTAGGTTAAGCAGTGGCTAACTATTTGTAAAATTGAGTCCAGTCTCGAAACCTTCAAAAGTAATAGATTCACCGATAAGGTTTTTGTTAACAATTAGAATTCATAAACTCAAGTCATAATTATTTATTACAAAAGGTATCATATTTTATTATAAAGCATGGCTAATTATAAATTTACTTGAACTGCAAAATATTACTCTTAGTCTACCATAGGATTACAGTTCTCTGTGGTATGTAATATGAAATTGTGGAAATCAGTTTTTGTAAGTACATGACGTCGGGTGTAAATATGATTATGAAATCAATAAAATATCAATACCTTCTTTTAATGTAGAGTGTACGTCAAAAAAAAGAAGTTTCACAGAAAAGTTTTTCTCAATTATTTGACAATATTTCAAAATAAGAGTTTTAAATATTTCAACCTTAATTGACAAAAAAGTCATTAGGTTTTTTTCATACCTACTTGTGGTATGCACATTTATGAGGCTAAAAAGCTGGTTTTAATCAACAACACCAGTAATTACCAATGGACAAATGACCTTGAACTCACCAATTATATTTATTTACAGATAGAATACATATATTCAAGCAAATAATGAATTAGAAGGCGTGTCACTGTTACACAAGGTACCTTTCTCTGACGGATGACAAAAATACCTCACAGTTTTGAACTCAAGTATCGACAGAGTAATTTAACCACACTCTATGCTTGTGATTTCTAGGTCTTCTAACCCTGATCTTTCCTTAAAATAACCTTAACGTGAAAATATCCCTAAACCGACCGTTATGGCGCCATCATTAGGTAAACCTTAACTTCATCTTTCCTAAACCCAACCTGAAACTTATCAGATATCCTGTTTAATAAAATAACACTTCATTAGGCATATTTGATTCATGATTACGATATTATTTACCAGGTTTGACAAAATTGCTCACTGAGCGTTTCAGCGTCATTCATTGGTGATGTCGCACTCCACTGGTGGTACTTATCAGTGCTTACAGTTTTATTGTGCCATAAATCATTATTAATCATGCGTGATTCATCAAATATTATCAGTAAAATTTCATAATTTCACTGCTATTTCTCTTCACTGCTACTGACATCATAACTAGATTTACTTATATGCAAATACACATTTTAAGCCTATCACCCGAGAAAAAAATATGCAGAAAAGAGTGGAAAAGAATTGGACGCATACACAATGAAAAAGCAATTGGATATCATTACACAACCAGGTAAACCATCCAAACGGGTAAGGAAGAGTTGGGCGTGGAACCCATGACAATATGAAAGAAATCATATCAGATGAAAAATAAAAGCTAATAGGCTGGTAAAGAAAACAGACTATGGAGAGCGGTGTGAAATAGAAATTGGACTTGTGAAGCCGTATATTCCACTTCAAACCCAAAGAAATAATAATAGTAATAACAATACTAGTGACAGTGTACTAATGTGATGTTACCTTTATTTTCCCGTATGACACTTGTTTATAAACAGGGGAAAAAAAGCACATAATTACGCCGGTGTCATCTGTTTATGTACTATAGATGTTATATATGTATATGTTTACCATTGGTTTTAAATCTCTTTTTTTCTAAGTGAACAAGCGTGTACACTTTAAAACAATACCATTATTAGTATATAAAAGGTACATTTTTTTCACACACACACACACACATCGAGAGTGCGGGAGAGAGACAGCGACAGAGGTAAAGTATAATTTATGATACACACGGCTTAAATATTATTATTATTACTATTATACGCATTTGTGCTACTATTTTTATGATAAAATTCTACACACAATACAATATAATGTCTAGTACTGATAGTACAATACATCACCTTTCCCCTTTTTTGTCTAAGAAAAAGAGATGAGTGTGAAGGAAAGAAAGGAAGAGGAGAATTAGAGACATAAAAGTATAGTACCCCACACCACACCACACTACGCTACACTACACTACTCGGTAGACATAACACTAGTCGTTTACGAGGACAAAATAAAGTGTATAAAAGAAAAAGAAAACGTGAATTTAATGCACACGTTATGTAAAATAACAATGCAAGAAAGAAGATTTGTGAACTCACCGATAATTAAGAGAATTATTTTAAACCATATCAGTAGTAATAGTGATGACGGTTGCATTGTCGTCGGCATCCTCCTCACCATCATCATCGTCGTCATTACTATTATTATTATTATCGGTAAAATATATTGCTGTATACTTATCCGTGATTATTATTATTATTAGTGGTAGTATTAGTAATAGTAATAGCAGTACCAGGAGTGTTACAATAGTCCATTAAGAGGAGATAAATCTTCCCCGTAGAGAACATAAATTATTTTTTCTTATATACGCACATATAATGCATTATATGTATATATATCTAATTTAATAACATTGTACACTGTAATGTTATGCATACTAACTGATTCAATCAAGAATGTATCATCGCTTGAATATTATGATTATATTTATCATTATTACCAATATCACTATTATTATTATTAATGATCATAATTAAAAAAATCCTTTTGCCATGTGAGATAAGTGTGATATAATAATGATGATGAATGATTGTTTTCTTGGTTAATAATCAAAATGTTGTGTGTATGTGTGTGTGTGTGTGTGCGTGTATACACAATATAACAACAATACAACACAACGCAGTACAATACAGCACAACACAACACTAGTCCTGATGTGCTGTTTTATCCTGTAAGGTGAACTTTTCTAAGCGTATGTGTATCCACCCCCGATAGACAACAATTGTGCATTGTACATTTCTTCTTGTGCTATTATTGAAAGTTGAATAAATATTATTATTTTTTTAAATAGGAAGAGGTATATATGGGAATGGTATGTTGTGTATGATTATTACTATGCCTGACAAGTTTGCCGGTGGTTGGTTAATGGTTGACTGGCTAGACAGACATAATATATGAGGGTAGATATAAACTATATGACCTTGTGATCAAGAGGAGTGTGTATATGTGTGTATCAGAACACAAAATAGTTTATCTTTCTAGTTTTAAGTATTGTTGGTGTTGTTTAAATGCATCAAATACATAAATAAATAAATAAACAACCCATTTGAATGATAGCTTTTTAAATAAATGTACAATGAGAAAGTTTCCCGTATTCATCTTCAAATCCATTATTAACATCCAATGTGTTGGAATAAGGTGGTGAATTCTATTTTTTTCGAACAAAGAGAGTTTTAGCTATAAGGAGAGAACAGGATAGGACAGACAGGCCTATGTAAAAATAAAACTCAAAACATTTCAGGCTGAAAATAAATCATCACTATCATCGCTGACTCAAAATAATAAATGTGCAGTTGACAATGCACATTGGTTAACCAATCAGAATGCTATTAAGGGTTAGATAGTTTATTCTAATAGGCTTGGCCTTAAAAAGAAACACACACATCTATGTATTCGTCTAGACTATTGAACTTAACCCATTTGAATGTCAGTGTTTTGACAAAGAGATGAAGTTGAGTTGAAGGCTGGAGAAAGCCTATGGCGCTAAATGGGGCATCACTTTTCACTTGTGAAAAGACAAACAATGAATTTCAAGATTTAGTTTGTAGGGATACTGTTGGTTTCAGGTTAGACCATGGATTTATATCAGTTAGAGAATCATTGAAAATCAGGAAGTACTGGACGGCTGTCTCGTTCTAATTTGGGACTCATCGGTAGCACGCACCCACCACAGGGGGTTCGAACCCAGGACGTAACCGTCACAAGGCAAGTTCGTGTACCATTCAGCCACCGGGGCCCCATTAAATGGACAGCTCATGAATTCAAGCTTCTACTCATTTGTGATTTTAGCCCCACCCCTGACCTGACTCACTACAAGACGAAGTTGCCTGGAGTTCTGATGATAAGTCGTGACCAGTGGGGTCCATCCAGTCGGGAGTGAGGATGGAGTACCCGTCAATGGCATTGGTTGGTAGTCGAGCTAAAATCACGAATTGGTAGAAGTAAGAATTCATGGGCTAGCCATTTAATAACGTCTCAGTGACTGATGGGCCCATGAGCTTGCCTTGTAACCGGAAGGTTCTGGGTTTGAACCCTGGCGGTGGGTCTGTACTGTAGACGATTCCCAAAAACTAGGATGAAACAGCTGGCTGTCCAGTACTCCCAGGTTTTCAATAGTTTTTTTAACTGATGTCATTCTGGGGTCTAACCTGAAACAAACAGTTTATAATGATTCAATCTGACTCGGTACCCAGATTATTCCAGGAAATTCGTAACATGCACTGTCTGTTAGATATTCGTCACGAACCAACACCACTTAAAGAGATCACTGAAAACTAAGGAACATTGAACGATTAATAATAATAATAAATAGCTGTATTGTGGACAGTGTCTATGTAATGTACAAGATTTCCGGCGAAGATTGTTGCATGCTATTTTCCCTTCGTACAGGATCTTCAAATGAAATTAATTAACTGACAGTAGATCCCGTGACACATAGCTGTCTTATCTGAAGGGGAAACTAACCTATTATGGTGATATTTTGCCTTTTTCATCTTCGAAAAATGCTCGACATTTAGTTGAAAGTCATTTATAAAAAGGTTAAGGTGTACATTTTGAGACCCAAAGATATAACACAGGCAGAGTTATCTTCTGTAATCCGATACTTTGCCGCCCTTTCTGCCTCCACGTTTTTATTTTTTCCGAAGTTTAGTAAAAACATGCAAATCATCATCAGGCTGTAAAGGCTATAAATAGTTGCGAAGGGAAACAGTGGCATTAGGGGACATATTTTATTAGATTAAAATAAACTGAACGAGAGAAATTATATGGAATGTCGTGATAAAAGTTTTTGGTAGTACGAGTTTCAAGTAGAGATCAGGTTGAAAAGTAGAAAGGCCATTTTGTCTTATTTGTAGACGCTTCAGCAATACGCGCCTACAACCTCAGAAGGGATTGAACTTATGGCCTGGAAGTTACTAGACCAGGCCGGTTGAGCATTCAACCACTTCAGCTGGAATTGAATGACTCGTGAATTCTAACTCTGTCAGCACGTGGTATACTGCTGCTCTCACTAATGCCTTTGACAAATATCCACTTAACAGTGACCTATGGTGAGACCCACTGGTGATGACTTCTCGCTGAAGCTCCAGGAAATCTATCCAACAGCCATCAGTGGGTTGGAGATTGAATTAATCACTGGTTCACATAATAAATCAATCAACACAATATTCTTTAAATGTACTATGCTATTTTTAACCAGTGATTTATATGTGAATGGTAAAAGGATTCGAAAGGTGGAAATGGAATAAAATTTATATGACGGCGTCAAATTGACTCATCACCTTTATATCATTCTCGCCGTCTACGACCACCTTCAATTCCCTGCAATCCAACAGTTGAATGTCATTTTGATTCTCACTAGTGACTGGCCCTATTGAAGTAGGCAGTTACCTGAGTACAGCAGGTCGGGTGTGAAAACAAATCTTCTCCAGCGACGACATTTGCTAGTGGTCGCGTCATATCGTGAATCGAGACAAGTTGGAATTCATGGGATGGCCACTGGATAGGGTACCAATGGCTTAATGGTCTACGAGCTAGCTCGCCTTGTAACCAGAAGGTCTTAGGTCCGAAAATCATTGAGTACTTGCTGATGAAGAGTTCTAAAACTAGGACTAAATAGCCGGCTACCCTGTACTCCCAGGCTTTCCGATGGTCCCCTAACCGATGTCAGTTCATGATGAAATCCTGAAACCGATCAAGTCCCTGAAAACCGACACTTAAAATTCTTAATACTTTAGGTGCCTGTACAATTATATCCAGAGAACTATGTTTTTTATGAAATATATGATGGAATTACTTTGATTATTTTATATTATTTGGTAGTGTTCTCTGTTAGGCAAATAAAAGCCTACCATAAAGACTAGATACCACAGTTGAAGGTCGAACGGCCGGTCAAAAACGTCTAGTGAGATGCTGACATTTATTGTGTAGAAAATTTTATTCATTGTCAAATTTATATATATGTACTATAAAGATGATTTACAGAGGATGTAGAGCTCTCGTTTTCTGTAAAGAAATATATCCACATTTCTCGTAGATGTTATCAGTGACTTATCGAACCACTAGTACCGGAAGGTCCGGGCTTTAACTCCAATGGGTGAGTACTGCTAAAAAGACTCTCATACCAGGACAAAACAGCTGTCCAGTACCCCCTCGTTTTCAGAAGATTCACTAACTGATAAGAGTTCATTATCAAGCTTTAAAAACATCAAATCCTGGCTAACTAATTCTTCAAGGTTTCTACGCATGAGCGATGTGATTGATAGTGCAAAGTGATTTCGTGATGCCTTGACTGTTGTATTTATTCCTTATAGTTAGTTACCCGTTTTGACAATTTGAATGTGTGTATGTTTGAAAGAAAGCACTTGAATACAAGTATAAAGACGTCAACGGGGAAATTTGTTCATTGTCAACGTTATTAAGAAAAAACAAATGGTTTTCCTCAGGAAAGCTGTTGAAGTTCACTAGATACTGAAGTTAGAGATGAATATTTTGTCTAGTAAAATACTATGGAGGCTTCCAGTTAAGTCAAATAAGAGTCAGTAAGCTACAAAGTTAACAAATAAGACTTGAGTGGTTCTATTAATGTCAAATAACGTTATGGCAAAAACTGTGGTTTTTACTTTGGTTGGCCGCTAGGTAGTCAGTAACAAATTTCATTCTCATATAAGAGGAAGACTGATTTTTCCAGTCATATTTGTAATATGGCCACCATACTAGGTGATTTGTCATCACGGTACAAAACTAAATTGATATTAGATGATTAGAAGCAATCTGCGGGAAGCCATGAACCTCTTCTTCACTCCAAGACACACTAGGTGACAAGGGTTTGAATCTCAGGAGAGATATAAGCTCCTTCAAGATTGCAAATATGGCTTGCTGATGAATTCATCCAACAGGCAGGAAACCAAGTTGGTCCAGGGTTTCCGACTAATTGCCTCCAATCATCTAATTAATATCTTGACATAAGTGGAGGTCTCTCAAAAGATTCTGTCAAGAAATTAGAAAAAGTATATCGAAAACTTATACTATTTGAGGTGATCAGAGAAAAATGGAAGGCTTTACAATCAACTTGCGTCTCTTGCCGACGAATCAGTTATCCACTCATAGTCTATGAAATGAATTTAATAACTTAAGAAAATAAATTTCATTATGAAACATCAGATTAAGGGTACAAAATTTTCCAGTGTATGAGTTTCAGCGTTAAGAATAATCTTTCAAAATAGTTGCCAAATTAACAGTGTATCAACCGAAATACCAGATGTTTGAACAGGTAGGCTACACTCCTTGATCCGGAAATGGAAGTTATTTTTATTAGCATTGTTGAACGGTCAAAGCATTTGACTGATATACAATAGAAAATGGGACTGTATTCATCTATAAAGGGGTTTTTATTTGAATTACAGTGATTCGACAAAGTGTACCAGGGGTTATTCATTTATGTGTGAATTGAACTACTTTCCATGTGGTCTTTATCATTAACTGACTAGTTTATCAGAAAATACTTTCGTAGAAATATCACCAGTGACCACTAAAGGATCCATTACAGATCAAATTTATTTTGATTAACTCTCACAATGTCCTACAGATATATTCGTTGATGACCACGTTTCGAGCGCATACTCATATCAAGGTACTCACGCAGATTTCTGACTTCGTTTATATACATGAATATGACTATGAGCAGTAATAAATTGTCCTCGAAGAGTGGTCATCAGTAAACATTAGTGTATAACACTATGGCACTTAATCGACAGGGGTTCGATCCCCTGTCGACGCACACCTGATATCTATAGTCGGCCTGCAAAATTTTGGCTATCGATATCACATGCTGAAAATTTCATACTTGTATCAAAAATACGGTGTGAAACCAAGCTATAATAAAAAAAATCAAAAATAAATCAAAAAAATGTATATTCCACTACAGTGCTCAAGTTCTGTCTTTATATCAACCGTAAAAGGGATGTTTTCTCTCTCTCTCTCTCTCTCCGTTATTTCTCGTTACTTAATCGTGAGTTTAAGAATAAATTAATTGGTTGGAGGATTTCATCATAAGCTGACATCAGTTAGAGAATCATTGGAAAACCTGCAGAGAGTACTGGATAGCCAGATGTCTCGTCCTGGTTTGGGACTCTTCGGAAGTACGCACCCATCACAGGGGGTTCGGACCCAGGACCTTCTGGTTGCGAGGCAAGCTAGTTCGTAGACCATTAAGCCACTGGTACACGTTCCAGTGGCCAGCCCATGAATTCCAACTTCTGCCGATTCATGGCATAAT